GTTAGACTCGTGATTTTCGCGGGCCCGGAGCCATAAACAAATTCTGGGAAGAACTCTAGACGAAGCAGACAATTAAAGAAGTGGTGCCGGTGCCTACGGAGCTGGGGAAAAAATTAAGGAGTGTGAAAAGGAGTAGGTCTTTTCACGGCGTCAACGTCTTCTCCCGGAATCAGCCCAAGACGACTCTCCACTCCCCAGGGAAGAAGTCTATGGAGCTGAAGCAGCTGAGGAGGCAGCTGGGAGTTGAAATGAAGCTGCGGAAACTCCAAAAACCCCTCCAGGATGCATCCAGTGGATCGCAGGCGTCGACCGGATCCACCCCCTTAGGGTCAACTTGTAAGGTTACTACCTCTTCTCCTGGCGTTGGAGGGGAGCCTTTCTCCACGCAGCCAAGGTCAGCTATTAGTTCAGGAGCAAGCAGTGGAACCACGGTGTGTACTGAATATTGGGAGGTACCCTATGATCCTATTAATAAGACTATTTTTGGGTACTCCAAGCAACGCTCACCACTCCTGCTCGAGGTTATCTGCAACGGACAGCGCCTCCAAGCACTCGTGGACAGCGGAGCATCGCATAGCGTCTATGACAAGGAAACCATCGACCGACTCGAAGGACAGCTCAAGTCCTCAAGCTTCTCGGCAACGATGGTGGATGGCAGTAAGCTACCAATCTTTGGGGAAACACGGTTACTACTACAGATTGGACCCTTGCGATGGAAGCTTGCTCTCCCCATCACAATATTAAAGGACTCGACGTAAACTTCGGGAGAGACTTTCTTAAAAAATTCAACCCCGAGATCAACTGGGTTAACCGGACGACAACGACGGAATGAAAATTAGCCTTCCGAAATGGGACGACACGGGAAATATTCCAGTCGAGACACTCGCACGCTTTGAAAAGAACGTTAAACGGACCACAGCGGGATTCATGGCGATAGTCAACGAAGCAGACAACGGAGAGAAGCATACCCAGGAACTTCCTCCAGCAGTCAAGAAAATTCTTGAAGAGTTCCAGGACGTTCTCCCCGACGATTTACCTGATCAACTACCGCCATACGGAACACATCAACACGAGATCGTAGAAGAGCCGGGGTCCAAGCCGACGTTCCGAGCACCATACCGGCTGAGCCCGACAGAGCTTGCCGATATGAAAAAACAAATAGAGTATCTCCTGGAGAAAGGGCTGATTCGACCTTCGACTTTGCCATACCGAGCCTTGAACAAGCAGACTAAAAAAAAAAAAACCCGATACCACGGATCGACGACTTACTCGATCAACTTCGCGGTGGTACGGTATTCTCCAAGCTCTACCCCAGATCGGGATACTGGCAAATTCGTATGGCGGACAACTCTATCCACAAAACTGCCTTCCGAACTCAGTATGGGTCATAGGAGTATCTCGTGATGCCGTTCGGACTCACTAACGCACAAGCCCCGTTTCAGGCGGAAATGAACCACATCCTTTGGCCCCTTCTAGACGAGTGCGAGGTGGTATATTTGGACGACATCCTGATCTACTCGAAAGACATGAAGCAGCACGTTGAGCATCTGCGACGCTTGTTTGAAATTCTTCGACGAGAACGTTTCTACGTCAAACTATCCAAGAGTGAGTTTGCATCGAAAAAAGTCCAATTCCTTGGACATATGGTGAGCGCTCAAGGAGTTCACGTGGATCCTAAGAAGATCAAAACAGTGCGAACGTGGAAGACCCCTGAGAACGTGAAGGAGTTACAACAGTTCTTTGGATTCGCTAACTACTACAACCGGTTCGTACCGAACTACGCCAAGATTGCCACACCACTAACGAACCTGTTGAAGAAGAATACACCATATCAGTGGGAGGCGAAGCACCAGGAAGCCGTGGAACAGCTGAAAACTGCACTCACGTCTGCACCTGCCCTTATTTTGCCAGACCCCAAACTCGACTATGTCATCGAGGCCGATGCTAGCGATCAAGCAGTGGGCGCAGTACTAATGCAAGACCAAGGGAAAGGACTGCAGCCTATTGCGTACCTCAGTACAAAACTTCATGGGGCAGAACTCAATTATCCTATACATGACAAAGAGGCCCTCGCCATCGTCAACGTGTTCAAGGCATGGAGGTGTTATCTCGAGGGAAGAAAGACGACCGTCTACACCGACCACTTCAGCTTGAAATACCTAAAAACACAACCAACACTCTCCAGGCGGCAGGTCCGGTGGATTGACTTCCTCGAAACCCACTTCCATTACGACATCGTGTATAAGCCGGGGCACAAGAACAAAGCAGATGCACTGAGTCGCCCTGCACACGTTGCCGCCCTACAAATCGATGGCATGAACCCACTCTTGAAGGGACTCTTCACGCATGGATAGACCATCGACCCCGAAGACTCTGTAGCAAAAATGCGCCATCTTCTACATTGGGACCAAGACATCGCATACCGCAAGGGATTCACAAAAATATGGGTACCTAATTACCCTCCTCTACGCCAGTTACTACTCGAAGAATATCATGATGTTCTCTACACGGGCCACTTCGGTAGTAACAAGACGCTTGCCGGTATTGCGAAGCATTATTATTGGCCCCACATGGCGGATGACGTACAAAAATTCATCTCTTCGTACGACACATGCCAACGGATGAAGAGCAGCAAACAAAAGAAAGCCGGGTTACTCCAGCCTCTTCTAGCCGGGTTACTCCAGCTGAAAAAATCGCCTCAAAAAACCGCCGGGGGCGACCAATTCGACGCCAATTTCTGGTCGTCAATGACAAATTTTCCAAAATGAGACACTTCATCCCAACACACACAACGACTCGCACCGAGGAGACAACGCAATTATTCTTCCGCTACGTCATCTCGCAACATGGCATTCCAACCACGCTGATCTCCGAGAGAGACCCAAAATTCACGAGTAAATTACGGAAGGAGCTCATGTCGCTCATGGGGACCAAACTCGCCATGTTATCAGCCTATCATCCCCAAACGGATGGTCAGACAGAGCGCCTCAACCAGATTGTCGAACAGCTTCTGCGAGCAGCGTATAAGGACGATATCTCTAAATGGGATGCACACCTGCCGGTTCTCGAGTTTGCGTATAACAACGCCTCGCATACCGCAACAGGGCAAACTCCTTTCTTCCTCTGTTGCGGTCGTAACCCACTCACGCCTCAGAAACCGACAGTACCTGCCACTCTGCAACCCGCACATGACTTCATTACCAGTATGCACCAATTGTGGGAGCGCACGCATAAACGCCTTCTAGCTATCCAGCAGCAACAAAAGAAGCTTGCTGATCGGAGTCGCAACGATCATTCCATCAAGATTGGCGATCAAGTGCTTCTGCATACATGCAACCTCGACGTTAGCCATCTTCCATCTAAGCTCCGACCTCGCTTCTGCGGACCTTTTCTCGTCGAGGGGCAGGTCACTCCAGTAACCTTCCGCTTGCGTTTACCAGCTACCTGGCGAATTCACAATGCCTTCCATGTTCAACTTCTCAAGCCCTATCGGGACCCAAACACGGTCTTCAAAGGTTGCCAGCCGCCGCCGCCACCGCCAGTGATCGTTAATGGGGAACCTGAGTACGAAGTCGAAGCCGTTCTGGCGCACCGACGACGACGTAACGGCACCTTGGAGCTCTTGATTCGTTGGAAAGGCTATGATCCTTCCGAGGATAGCTGGGTACCTGAACACACCATGGATAACGCCCGTCGTCCTCTCCAGGACTACCTTTTCAAGCAGGGTGTTACTTCTACCACCCAGCTTTGAGGGGGGGAAGTGTGAGAGGACGTCCTCGTTATAATATTTCTCATTATTATATTTTTCCTCTATCTTATTCTCCTTTTTCTCCTCTTAATTTTGGTCTTTATCTCATCTCAATCAGCCTACTATTCTATTTTCTAGAGCCTGCTATTTATTTCTCTTATTTCCTACTTTTTCCACCGACATATCTATTATACGGCACCGACAGCGCCGACAGTGGTGTATACGGTGTAATCTGGGCGTAATCCCAAGTGCCAATAGCCTTGCGTGCTTGTGCACACTTGTGATTGTAGTATCGGGAAGGGCGTGTTCCCGAAGGTTCGTTTTATCTCGTTTATCCTTGTAATTTCCGAGTATAAAAACGCCTTGTATTCAGTTTTAGTGACAAGTTTCGATTGAGAATTCGATCCTGTGACACGACAGCTCCAAACAGGGCCGCGACAGCAGGGGCCGCGATAGCAAGGTAGGCACACGGGGCACAGATGAGACAGGCGCGAGGCGCGCGACAGGGGCAGGAGCGCGCTTCGGGCAGGGCAGGAAAAAAAAAACAAGTGGTGGGCCCTAAAAAAACGGTCCCACTAGGGAACCCGCTCTATACCATGTGAAATTAGTACGAGGAATGAATGAACTAGGAAGCAGGTGGGTACAAATATGAAAACCTAAAAGAGTTGTACCCCATATTGTCAACCCCACTACAGCCTACAATATGGTTCTGACATTTGTAGTAAATATGAAGGTGGCAATCGATGTTCACAAGCACACCACAAATGGCGGCAAGTTAAGGCTGAATGCACGTGTATCTTTTGAACAGCATACTTCCATGGCTGCTGAGTGCATATGCTGATACAACATTGTCATTTGATTATCCGATCCGATCTTTAATTTGTTCCTTAGATTGTATGCTATTACGTCCAGTAGGTTGCCTCAGCTATTGAGATGTACTACTCAACCAGTTGGTTCCCAATGAATGCTATCACGATGATGTTTTAAATCTTCTTATTCTAGAAAGTTAGAATTATGTTTCACTCATACTTTTAAGATATTTCAAATGCAGTTGATTGTGAATATAAATAGTGGTTGTTTTAATTGTCAACAGTAAAAATCAGAACGCAATTCACGCTATTCAAATTTTAACAAGTTCGGGTCAATTGTTGAGTAGTTGCGCTTAATGTATGGGTTATTCTAGGGACAACACACCCGTAGATGTTAGCGTGAACTTGAAGATGTTTTTGTACTCAAAATCGGGCCACGAAGCATGTTTATGCCAACGTGGACCAATCGAGCACAAGACCGAGTCGGTTGTGATAATGGAATGGAACAATAACCTGCCGACGCTGCAAATAGATTTGTTCATTTTCGACAGTTGATGCTGCAAGACCCTCATTCTCGATTTGGGTTCTCTGCCATTCAGGTGTGGATTGTTAGTAGCTAGTTAGGTTTAGGAACCATGGCTATGGTTGAGGATACTAGCATGATTATCATGAGAGTTGAGCAAAGGAGAAAGGTGATCACTAAAGGGCCAAAGGCCCAAGTTATACAAGAGACAATGTATGAAGTGGTGCACCACAACCAAGAATGGATAACTACACTACAATGCTAAACAATTATATAAAATATGAAGAGCATATTTTGATACGCCCCCATAAATGTTTGTAGGTAGAAGTGTAGAACGCCTCCAGAAGGGGTGCACCAAGGACAGAGCGGCGCGGTGGAAGACGACAAGGAGGTAAATGAGGAGGAGGCGAGAGAGAGAGAGAGAGAGAGAGAGAGAGAGAGAGAGAGAGAAGGAGAGAGAGAGAGAGAGAGAGAGAGAGGGGAAGAGAGAGGAGAGGAGAGGGATGAGGAGTGGAGGTGCGGGGGAGCCTAGCGCGGCGGGCCCCTCTTACGAACCCCCGTTTTACAAAGGGGGGGGGGTGAGAGAGGGATAAGGAGAGGAGGTAGGGGGAGCCACGTGGTGAGCCCCTCTTACGAACCCCCTTTTTACAAGCAGGAGGGGTGGGGGGGGGGGAGAGGGGGTGGATGAGAGAGGGAGGAGAGGAGGTGGGGGGGAGCCTAGTGCGGCGAGCCCCTCTTACTAACCCCCTAATTCCACGCCCCCTTTCAGCCACCCCCCTCACCCTCACCCCCCTTGTCAACGGCCCCCTGGAACCTCACGCCTTCCCCCCCAACCTTCCTCCAACGCCTTCCCCACCCACGGTAGTGCCTGCTCAAGCCTTCACACGGCGTCCAGAAGCCCGCCACCCCCTCACCCTCCCCCCCACAGCGGAACGTGCGGTAGTGAGGAAGAGAGGAGGAGGAGCGACAGCTGGGTGCTCACACCCGCCACCCCAAACCCACCCCCCCCCCCCCCCCCCCACTGTTGTAGGATGCTAGGGCAGGCGGCAGCAGGTCGCGCTGGGGCACAGGGCAGCAGGTCGCGCTGGGGCACGGAGCTGCAGGTCGCGCTGGGGCACGGGGCAGCAGGTCGCGCTGGGGCACGGGGCTGCAGGTCGCACTGGGGCACGGGGCAGCAGGTCGCACTGGGGCACGGGGCTGCAGGTCGCGCTGGGGCACGGGGCTGCAGGTCGCGCTGGGGCACGGGGCTGGGGCAGCAGGTCGCGCTGGGGTACAGGGCAGCAGGTCGCGCTGGGGCACGGGTCAGCAGTGTTGGGTGCAAATTCACATTGCACGACATCCTGCCGTCTATTTGTACGAGTATGCGTGTGCGAATGCATTTTGGGTGTGAATGGAATGTTCGTGTGTTTGTTTGATTTCGCAATTTTTGCTTGAAGCATTTGTAGGTACTCACGCATTGTGCGCTTCAGCATAACATTGTACACGCTATGAACAGTACAAGCAGAAAGGACGAGCTCGCAAAGGGACCCAAGATGGAAGCTTTGCGGTTCAACTTACTTGATTGCGCAGATTCAGTTCTATCCAATTCGAAATTGTACTGTTTTGTTTGGTTGACTATAGTGTAGCAGGGCAGTCACTATAGGGGTACAATTTAGGTGAAGGTTGGATGTTGTTTGTCTGTATCTGCATGCTACAAGGCCAGGGGAAACCAGCGGAACCAGCATTTGGCTGGTTGGGCAAAGACAAAACAGGTTCTGTTTTTAGGACCTGAACCTGGTTGTTGTTTTCCCAGGTTGGAAAAACAGAACCAGAGGTTGTTTACCAACCTACCACCTGCTGTTTTGTCCAGCCAGGTTGGTTCTGTTGCTTGGAATTATTTGGGATCATCCCTGGTTGTTCCCAGGTTTATTCCCAAGGTCCTTCCTAGCCTGTACCTGGATATAGTGAAATTGATTGAAGCGAATTCCTTCCTTGCTGGAATTTCCTTTCTACGCGGTGCGACGGCGGAATGCTACCCGAGTCAACGCTAGTACGCTAGCACTCCAACGCTAGGCAAACGCTGTCCGAGCCATAACTTCGTAATGGCAGAACTTTTCGCGAGGCAACTTGGTTCATTTTAAAGCTCTTGGAGCGAGCTTCGATATAGGAAATTCTCAGCTTAATCCGATCGGCGGTCTGCACGATACGCTGCGCGACGTTCAAGGTACTCTTGCTGTTTTCACTAAGTCCCTCTTGATCCCTCTCTCTACAAACTCGGACCCGAGGATAGGGGCTGGTCTTGTACCAGGCACCCAAGGACCCTTGGAGGTGACCCCAAGGAGAGGTTTTAAGTGTGATTAAGTCTAATAGCTTGAGTTTATTAGGCCCTTACACCAACAAGCTGGTATAAGAGCTGCGTTATAGTGATCCTCGATATAGGTAGCTATGGCGGGCAACACCTCGACGGGAGCTGGTGAATCTTCAGCCCAAGATCGTAGCGGCAGCCATGATTCTGGTGTTTCAGCGCCATGGGGAGCACGAACAAACCAGGGCTCGCTGGTCAAGGAGGTGCTGAAAAATTTCACCGTCGAGAAGTTCAGTGGTGAGGGCTATGATGATTGGGCCTGAAAAATGCAACTATATTTCCGTTTGATTGGATTGCTGAACTAATGATTGGGGAGGAGCCTAGACCGAGTGACCCCGCGCTGCAGGAAGATTGGGACGAGCGCTCCTCGGCTGGCTACTATTTGATGTCGCAGAGTTTGGAGCTGAACCAGCGTCACCACGTCATGCATCTGCTGCCGGAGGTTGAGTGCGGTCCGAAGGCGTGGACGGTGTTGAAGGAGCTGCACGCCCCGACCTCCGTTGTTGCAACATTGATGCTGGAGAGGGAGCTATCCGCGTTGCGGCTGAGCGAGGGAGAGCCGGTGCAACCTGTCCTGGACAAGATGCGCGACCTCTACGCGAAGTTGGCGACCGCGGTAATCACCTACCCGGAGCAGACCAAGTGCCTGAAGATGCTCTCGCTGCTGCCGGAATCGTGGCTTCAATTCACGAGCGGATTGAGCCTGCCGCAGAACCAGAGCTCGTGGACACTCGAGTGGGTGCGGACAAAGATTCTGGAGGAGGACTTTCGTCGCCGCCAACTGAGGGGTGGAGACGACGGCAGCAGCGGCTATGGGGACGTGGCTTTGGTGGTGATGGACGCGGTGCAAAGAAGGACGACGACTTCAACGACCAACAAGGAGGTACCGGTTGGGGTCGCAGTGCGAAATCTGGACGTTGGGGCAAGTCGGGTGCTGGTGGCAAAATGAAAGGGAGTTGCTGGCATTGTGAGAAGGAGGGGCACCCCTGGTTTTTGTGCTGTAAGAAACCCGATGGATGGACCCCCAGAATCGTCACCAAGATGGCGGCGCGCGGAGGAACCAGAAAAACGGCGCGAGCATGGTTGCCGATTCGTCCAACAACAACCCGAAGAGCAACGGCGGTGCGGAAAAGAAGAAGGAGTGCACCGCGGGCCAGTTCTTCCATATTGGAGAGAAGGGGGAGCAGGGGGAGCAAGAAGACACCTCTGCCAAGGTTGGAGCAGAGCTGCACCCCCTGGATTATTGGGTGTTGGACACAGGCGCTGCTTGGACGATGACGCCGCGAAAAGACCTGCTGGACCACGTACGAGCTGCACTGATCAACGAGGTGTGCTCCGCCTCTGGACACGCGCTGAAGGTGGCTGGTGCGGGACGAGCTGCGTTTAAGGGAGCGGATGGCAAGCCGGTGGTGCTGCACGACGTTCTCCTTGTTCCTGAACTCAAGGCCAACCTCATCTCCCTCCGTAAGCTTGGCAAGTCTGGGGTGAGCACTTGCACGGATGGGGCACGCACTTACAAGGGGCAGCTGGGCAATCGGGTGCTTTGGGATCTGCACGAGAGTACGGACGTGTACAGATCCATATGGCAGCTGCCGGCGTTGGCGTGGCATGGTGGGGGGCAGGCTGGAGAGGGGTCTGCATCCCAAGGGGAGTGCAACGCCGTTGGAGGGTTTGGTGTGAAAGTCTCGGCCATATCTGGGGAGACGGATTGGGCAACAGCACACCGACGCTTGGGGCATGTGGCAATGCCCTTGTTGAAGCAGTTGGAGAAAGATGGAGCCGTTAAGGGTCTGAAGCTGAACGGACAGCCACCTGATGAGAATTGTGAAATCTGTTTGCTCTCAAAGTTTACCCGTTTCCCCTTCCATAGCGTGGCTCGCAGGAGCAAGAAGCCATTGGAGCTGGTCCACATGGACTTGGTGGGGCCGCTGCCGGTTCAGGGGCACAAGGAGGAGTGGTACTTTCTGACCATAGTGGATGATTGGAGCAGGCTTATGTGGGCATATCTGCTGAAGCAAAAGGACCATGCCGCCTCTACAATACGGGAAGATTGGCTGCCATTCGTGGAAAAGCAAGCATAGTGTGTGGTGAAGCGGATTAGGACAGATCGGGGTGGTGAGTTCCTTGGAGCTGAGATGACGGCCTGGCTCAAGAAGCAGGGCATCCAGAGGGAGCTGACCACAGCTTACACCACACACTCTAACGGTGTAGCAGAACGGGCGAACCGGACAATTCTGGAGACAGCTAGGGCGCTGCTCATAGAATCTGGGCTGGGCAACTTGATGTGGCCCCATGCTGTTCGGCACGCTACCGTCGCTAGGAATAGGGTACTCACCAAGTTTCGGGATGACTTGTGGGTGCCGTTGGAGAGGTGGCTTGGGAGGAAGCCGCCGGTGGACATGCTGAGGGTGTTCGGTTGCATGGCAGTCGCCCACGTCCCCAAGACCTACCGCAGTAAGTTGGGGGCGAGTGCAATCTGGTGTGTGCATTTGGGGCTGGCTGCTGAGAGCAAGGGATGGCTGCTGTGGGAACCTTCCAAGGGTGTGTTGTTTGACTGCAGGGATGTGAAGTTTGTTGAGGGCATGATGTATGGGAGCTGGGAGAAACAGCCGGAGGCCAGGGTGTCCCAGCAAATGGAGCAGATCACTATGCTGCTGGACCTGACTCCTAGTGTGTGGGAGGAGGGAGAGGAGGCAGCTGCAAAGGGTGGTGATGGATAGGAGGTACTGGAGGCACCTGCTGGTGGAGAAAATGATGTGGAGACTGGCACTAGTGGAGCTGCTGGATCTTAGGGGAGAGAGCAGCAGCAAGGGCAAACTAAGAAGCCGAAGGGTGTCGTTATGAAGGGATGGGAGACGCCCGTCTCCAGGCCAGGACGTACCCGTATGGCTACTAAGAAGCTGACTGCAGGAGCTGATGTAGCGGAGCAGCAGCTTGGGACCGAGGAGGCATTGCTGATTCTACCGCATGGCTATGATCCGGATGAGGAGGATGAACCTGCCTACTATTTTCTTGCCCCTGCACCAGAAGAACCAACTAGCATCCAGGAGGCATTAGCTGGACCAGATAGGGAGAAGTGGCTCGTTTCGAGGGATGCTGAGTACCAAAGCCTGCTAGAGAATGGGACATAAGAGCTGGTGGTGCTGCCTGAGGGGAAGAAAGTCGTACAGTGCGAATGGGTTCTAAGG